TTGCCTGCTCCCTGCCTGCACCCCGTGCGCCCTTCCTGCCTGCACCCTGCCCGCTGTTCCCCCTGCTGTACCCTCTGCCCCCTTCCAGCGTCCTGCCCTCACCCCTGCCCGCTCCCAGCCCGTCCCTTGCTCGCTCCCCGTGCCTCCTGCCCGCCCCCTGCCTGCCCTGTGATCCCTACCTGCCCGTGCCCCCCGTTCCCTGCTCGCCCCCCATTGCCCCCCCGCCCTCCCCCCAGCAGCTCCGGCCCCGAGGCGAACTTCACCCCGCCGCCCGCGGAAAGTTTCTTTCCGAGGAAATAAGAATACCCCTAAAAAAAAAAAAAAGGAAAAAAACAAACCCCCAACCCAGTCAAACTACAGCTAAAGCAGTGACCCGGGGCCGCAGGTGGCGGGGGGGGAACAGCCCCAGTGTCACCCAGCTCGGTGCCACACTCCCCCTCTCCTCCCCACCTCCCACCCTGACCCTTTTATTTTATTTCCTATTTATATTCTATTATTTTCTTTCCACGTGAACCCCGCGGGCCGAGGAAACGTTCCTCCATGCTCAGTTCCTCTTTCTCTCCGTCCCTTCCCTCCGGGTGACGTCGGCGGTGTCACCGCGGGGTGAGCGCAGCCCCATGGGGCGCACGGTGGGGACGGGCACCGGGAGTGGCACCGAGCTGGGCCAGCCCCCCCTTAACCTCCAGGATCCCCCCCAGCGAATAGGGGGTGCCCCCAAAGCGCCGGTGTCGCCATTGCCCTCCCGGTGTCCCCATCCCATTGGCAGCCTGTCTGTGCCCTTGCCAGTGTCGCTGCTTTGCAGGCTGTGCTTAGGCCTGCAGCTTGGGTTTCGGTTTGCTTGCAGCGTGGCTTTGCAGTGCAGGGCGGTGCAGTGTGGTGCAGTGCGTTGTGCCCCAGGGTGCAGCACTGTGCAGTGCGTTGTGCCCCAGGGTGCAGTATGGCACAGTGCAGTGAGGGGCAGTGCAGCACTCCCTGGGGCAAAGCACAGCACAGTGCAGTGCGTTGCTCCTTAGGGTGCAGTGTTGTGCAGTGCAGGACGGTGCATTGCTCTCTGGGCTGCAGCACAGTGCAGTGCATGCAGTGCAGTGCTCCCTTGGGTGCAGCTCAGGGATGCAGTGCAACACATCTCACTGCACGGTGCTGTGCAGGACAGCACGTCGCTCCCTGGGGTGCAGTGTAGTGCGGGGCTGGGCTGTGCAGCGCTCTCCAGTGTGCAGCACAGGCAGCACATCTCTCTTTGTGGTGCAGTGCAGCGTGGCGCAGTGCAGTGCCCTGTGGTGTGCAGTGCATCGCTCCTGAGGATGCATTACGGTGCAGCGCAGTGCAGGACAGCACATCTGCTCCCCAGCGTGCAGTGCATTATGTGTGGTGCAGTGCATCGCTGCCTTGCGTGCAGCTCAGGGCAGTGCGTTGCTCCTTGGGGGGCAGTGAAGTCTGTTGCAGTGCGATGCAGTGCATTGCTCCCTGCATGCAGTGCTGGGCAGTTCATTGCTACCCGTGGTGCAGCACAATGCAGCACGTTGCTCAGCGAGGTGCAGCGCTGCACAGTGCAGTGCGTTGCCCCCTGGAGCACAGTGCAGTGCAGTGCATTGGTCCCCGGGATGCAGCGCAGTGCCCCCTGGGGTGCAGTGCAGTCTGTAGCAGCGTGGCACAGTGCACTGCTCCCTGCAGTGCTGGGCAGTGCTGAGCAGTGCGCTGCTCCCTGGCGTGCAGCACAACGCAGCGCATCACTCCCTTGGGTGCAAAGCAATGCATTGCATTGCTCCCCACGGTGCATCGTGGTGCAGCACGTTGCCCCCCAGGGTGCTGTGAAGTCTTTTGTAGCGCCGGGCAGCGCGTTGCTCCTGGGGGTGCAGCATGGCGTGGTGCACTGCTCCTGGGGGTGCAGCATAGCACGGTGCATTGCTCTTGGGGATGCAGCACAGTGCAGAGCACTGCTCCCTGGGGTGCAGCACGCAGTGCATTGCCTCCTGGAGCGTGGCAAAGGCGCTGTGTCCGCACAGAGGGACCCCCTCCCAACACAGCAGCCGTCCCTGCGCTGGGGACGCTGCAGTCCCCGGGTCACCTTAGGACAGAGCACACCGGGGCGGGGGGAGCCGGGGAGGTCCCTCCCTCCCTCCCTGCATCCTTCCACGGCTGCGGGAACCCAAAAAACCATCCCCTGCTGCCGTCACCTAAAATGGCTGTTGGGTAGCTCCGGGGTGGAGGGGTGGGGGGGGGGGTTGGCTGTCGGCATCCCGAAATACGAGGAGGGTGGATGGATGGATGGATGGATGGAGATGAGCTATATGATTTTTCCTTTTTTTCTCGCCGTGCATCATCGCAGGTAACCTACTTCCACCGCCTCCGCCGCCGCCGCCGAGCGTGACTCCGTGCAGCGGAGAGGTTTGGGGCGGACGCGTTCCCCCCGCTTCGCCGCCGCCGTCACCGGGTAAGGTCAGCGCCGGCGGTTAAATAGGGGAAAAGCAGAAGGGAAGAAGGGAGGGAAGGAGGGAATTAGGGAGGGAGAAGGGGACGCGGTTCTCCCTGCAGAGGGAATGCCCCGGTGCTGTGCTGGAGGAGAGCGGTGACGGTGGCCTAAGCGTGGGGTAAGAGCGTGCCGTGGGGCTGGGAGGTGGGGGGGGAGAATGTTTTTGGGGTGCTGTCGGGTTCCCCCTCTACACACACACCTCCAGGCTTTGTTCATTCCGTGTCCCCCCCACCCCTCCTCCTCCTTTCCCCGCAGCCCTGCGGGTGCGGAGGGTTTTGTACGCAGCCCAACTATTTTTAGTGCGTTTGGAGACCATGTTGGCTGGAAGGGAATCAAAGGGCTCCGGCAGCTGGGGGGGGGTTCGACGCGGGGCTGAGTGTGGCGGCAGGCACAGGGGGGTCCGTGGCCCCACATGTGTGCACGGTGGGGGGCTATGGGGGCTTGGGGTGCAGTCTGTTATTTCGGAGGTGCTGCCTCAAGGGGACATTGGGGACACTGGGGATGCAAAGGGGGGGGGGGCACAGGGTGTCCCCAGGTGTCCCCAGATGTCCCCCAGCAGCACGTGGCCTCCGGTGACAGCGGATGTGGCTATGGGGGGTGATGGGGTGCACTGTCTGCTTGGGGCTGTGGGGCTAAGGTGCCCGTGTGCCAATATGTGTGCCATGCTGTGCTGTGGTGCTGTCTGTGTTGCACCTTGGGGACGTGCACCCGCAGTGGTGACGCGTGGCCATACCTGGTGCTGGCACCAGCGTGGGATCCCCCAGAGCTGTGGGCATGGGTCATGGCAGACTCTGTGCTGTAGGGACAGGGATGGGGACAGGGATGGGGACGGGGTTCCCCATGGAGGCTCCCTGGCAGCTGGCGAGGGAGGGGCCGGGGAAAGCCCTTGTGCTGTGTGCAGGCAGTGGGGGGGTGCTGGGAGAGGGGGGGGGCACTGCACCCCAGCCCACGTCCCATACGCACAGCCCTGTGCCATCACCACCCCAGAGCCCACAGCCCCAGGGTTGCATGCTGCACCCCCAGCCTGCAGCCCTGCTCCCCAGTCCTATGCCTTGGTCTGCATCCTGCATCCTGCACCCTGCACCTGCATCCTGCACCCCCAGCTTGCACCCACATCCTGCATCCCCCATCCCCATGTTGCGTTCTGCACCCCCAGCTTGCGCCCCACAGTCCCCAATCCTGTGCCCACGTCCCCATCTTGCACCCCCAGCTTGCATCCTGCACCCCCAGCTCGCACCCCCTCCTTTCCCCCCCCCATCCCCCCACTTTGCAAACAGCACCAAGGAGAGGTGGAAGCCCCCAGCACCCACGGCCTCCCCCATCGCCCCCCACCCCATGCACCGTGCACTGCAGCCCCGGCAGCAGTTGGGGCCCCCTCTCCCCCCGCAGCAGCCCCGTGCCGCAGGCAGCCAAGGGGACGGGAGGAACGTGCCGGGCTCTGAGTTTGTGTTCCTAGAAGCAGGGCCCTGCCCGCCCGGCAGCCCCCCACCCCGCCGGCTGGGAACGAGCTGCGGCTGGAAAGCTCTAGAAACAAATTGCAGCGCCGGTGCCAAAGGCAACAGCAGCCTCGGCCATGGCTAATGCAGGCAGCGTTTTCCATAGCAACAGGTGCTGGGGCTGACGCCTCCTCCGCAGCCCCGCGGGGCCCTGCCTGCGCCGCGCACCCCGCCTCCTGCACCCTGCACCCCACATTGCACGCCATGCACCCTGCCTAGCGCAGCGTGTGCCCCACACGGTGCTCTGTGCACCCCCACATTGTGCACCACGCAGCTCGTGCCACGCTCTGTGCACCCCACGTCGTGCACTCTGCACACTGCCCGGTAGTGCACGGTGCACCCCACGTTGTGCTCCGTGCGCCCCGCATGGTGCCCTGTGTACCCCACACTGTGCTCTGTGCACCCCACATCGTGCTCTGTGCTCCCTGTGCCACGCTGTGTGTCTCCACGTCACGCACTGTGCCCCCTGCACTGCACGCTCTGCATCCCACACACCGCATGCTATGCGTCCTGCACCCCACACCGTGCATCCTGCACCCCACACACCCCACTCTGTGCATCCTGCACCCCGCACGCCCCACACTGCACATCCCACACGCCCCAAGCTGTACATCTCACACCCCACACCGTGCATCCTGCAACACCCCACACTGTGCACCCCACGTGCCGGGGCGCAGGCAGGGCGCAGCGCAGCCGAGTCAAGGCTATGCCATGTTAATCATTGCCACGCTCGGGGGCGCGGCGGGGGGCTGGGGGCCGCTGCTCCCCCCTCACCCCATCCCTTTGAATCCCACAGGGACCCACACAGGGGCTGGCTAACCCCTCCCGGAGCCCTCCTCGGAGCCGGAGCGCAGCGGCGGCGGTGGTGGTGGTGGCAGCGGGGCCCCTCGTGGTGCCAAGCCCCCCCCTCCCCCCCCGTACCCCCCCTCGGCACCATGCCCTCCAGCGGAGCCCTTGACGCCAGCAGCCCCGCGCCGGACCGCGAGGCGCATGACACGCACAAGGTACAGCCCCATTTTGGGACTAGGGGGACCCCATAGCTGCGCTCCCCCCAGAGCGCGGTGGCAGCAGGGAGTTGGGAGTGAGGCTGAGCTGCGTGGGGATTAGTGGGGATTGAGCTATTTCTGGCAGTGCGGGCAGTGGGGAGGGGGCACCGCGCCGGCTGCTGCTGTGGGAACACAGGGTGACCCCTGCCATGGGGCTGGGTTGGGGGTATGGAGTGGGAAAGGGTATCCCCCACCATGGATCACGGTGACAACCCAACGGATGTCCCCATCCCCATGTGGCACGCACAGCCACTGACCTCAGTGGCAGTCCTGGGCTGCCCCCCACCAGCCTCTTTGTGTCCTCATGACATGAGGACAAACCCAAAGCCAAATGCCTGCTCTCTTTACCAGAAGGCATCGCCCTTTCCTTGGGGAGGATTGTCCCCGGCGCGCAGGGGACACGGCATGGCCCGGTCACAGCGTGGGGACCGGGGACGCTGCCAGCTGGATGCCAGCCCGCCATGGGCAGCACGGGGACGGGGTCATGAGGGTTTCTCTGGGCCATGTCAGTCCCTATGCCCATCAGCTGGATGCTGCTTCAGTGTAGGACGTGGTACAGGGGGCACACTGGGGTTTCTGTCCCCTTCTGGGACATATATGGTGTGGTGCTCCATAGTACATGCCTTGCTGTGCCCACAGCTATCTCTCATTCCATAGGGATGGTAGAAGTGCAACAGGACTCTGTCTCATGAGCTGTACCCCACAGTCCCAGCAGGGTCCCACTGCCTAGGATGCAGAGCCTGGGGTCTTGGTGCCTGGAGTCCCAGTGGGGTCCCATTACTTGGGGTCCTGGTGCCTGGGGTCCTGTGCCCAGGGTTCCTGTGCCCGTTGCCAGTGCCTGGGGTGTGGTGCTTGGAGTCTCAGTGCTTGGGGTCCTGGTGCCTGGGTCTGGACATCACTTCACCACACTGCGCTGTCCCAGCCTGACCCCACTGGGACATGTCATTACACACTGAGTCACCCCTGAGAAGGGACATATGCTCACTTCACTGTGGGTCACACTAATGATAACAGCTCAGCACAGGGGTCCCAGCACCCAGCCCCATGTCCACAGCCCTGCTGCAGTCAGGAATAAGGACCTGGCATCGGGCGCGGCGCCGGCACTGCGTCATGCAGCAGCAGCAGCAGCTCACAGCTCGCAGCTCTCTCCTCAGAGGTGGTTTCCCTGAGGGTTGTTGCTTGGCAGCAGTGGTGCTGCAGGGACGCGCCAGGCTCTTTGGCGAGCCCCAGGGAGCAGAGACACGGGGTGATTTATGGGGAGGTGACTCAGCTCCCAGCAAGGGGCTGCAACATTGTCGGAGGGGGCTTGGAACTGTGGCTGCAGCCCTGTGCCTGTTTCCCTGTGCCACATTTTGGGGGTTCCTGGTGCTATGCCTCAGCTCCGCACTGCAGGGAGGTGCTGAGCCCTGTGGAGGTGCTCTGACGGGTGCACATGGGGAGCATCACCTTGCAAAGTGCCCCCAGCTCCATCCTGCACGTGGGATGCATGTGGGTGCAGCACAGCCTGGGGTTCAGTGTGGGGATTGCAGAGAGCTCCAGGGGCTGCATGGAGCTCCAGGGACTGCATGGAGCTCTGAGGACTGCATGGAGCTCCAGGGGTTTGTGAGGAGCTCTGGGGGTTACACGGAGCTTCAGGGGTTGCATGAAGCTCTGGGATTATGTGGAGCTCTGGAGTTGTGTGGGGCTCTAAGCATCCCAGAATGTCTCCTAGCTCTCCAGTGCACTCCAATGCCGCGCTGCCTCTTCCCCGTGCTGAACAGTCCTCGTGGTCCCACATCACACCATGCCAAGCCGTGGCACACTGTGGCCCTGAGACAAGTGCCCTCAGGGCCACCAAGTCACCTCGAGCCGTGTCATGCCATGCTATGCCAAGTGACCTTGAGCCATGACATGCTGTGCCACATTGTGCCTCTGACATCAGTGCAACCAAGGCTACTGTGTCACCTCAAGCCATTCCACGCTATCCCAAGCTATGCCAAGCTGTGGACCTGAGACCAGTGCTCCCAGGACCACCACAGCCAGGACATGGGGGGAATCGCAGCAGTGCTTGAAGTGCGGGAGGCACAGAGACCCCCTCCTCAAGCACCGTGGGGCGTTTGAGGCCAGCATGGTGCCAGCACGCCCTCTGCCAGTGTGGGGGGGGGGAGCAGGAGCACATCTGCAGACCCCTCCTCCCAAACACCAACCCAAAACTGGGGCCTCGTGGAGGCCAAGCCCCCTATGCCATAAGGCCGTGCTGTGCCCCTGCTTCTCAGCCTTAGTTTCCTGGGCCACATCCCCCCCTTCACAACCACCCCAGGAGCGTGGCACCCCCGACCCCCCGCTCTCTCCCCACAGGCCAGACCCACGCTGGCTATGGCTGCCGGGCCCGGCGCTGTCTGCCTGCCAGCTCCCGTCCCCTCCCCGGCCTCTCCCTCGCCGCCCCCCCGCCGGCCTCCCCGCCTTCCCCGCTCCCCCCTCCGCGGCCTCTTCCTGCCTTGGGCCTCTGCTGCCGCCACCACCGCGATCTTCTGGGGCTCAGGTGGAGCGCTCCCCGACGCTGCGGGCCTCGGCTGTAGGCTCAGCCCTTCTGCCCATAGCCCCGGAGCCGGTCCCGTCCCCGCTGTGGGGCAGGCGGCACTGGGGGGGGCCTGGCTCTGCAGAGAGGGGGGGGACATGGAGGTGTAGGCCCCAGCCCTGTGTTTGGGGCACAGAGGCGCAGGCCCCAGCCCTGTGGGGTGCGCGAAGCTGTAGGCCTCAGCCCCACGCGCGGTGGTGGCAGTGTGGCGTCGCCATGGCAACCGCAGGCTTCAGGCCTTGCAGTAGGCCGCGCTCGGCCTCGGAGCCCCCCGGAGTGTGGGGATTTGGGGTGAGTGCCCACTGCCAGCTGTCCTATGGAAATGGGGGGTGTGGGGTGGTGTGGGATGCCACCCCACTGCCTCACGGGTGCCGAGCGGGAGCTGTGCCTAGGCTGTGGCCCCATAACTGCCATAACCATGCCACGTCTCCATCCCACAGGGGGAAGAGGAGCAGGAGGAGCACCCGAGCAAGGAGGAGAAGCAGGAGCCAGGGACACCCATGAGGAAGGCCGGGCGGCCTGGGCGAAAGCGCAAACACGCCCAGGTGAGCAGTGGGGCCCAGTGGGACAGCCATCTCCAAAGTCCCCTTCCCTGGCTCTGCCAAGCAGGAACCACAGCCCACTGCCACCCAAAATGAGGATATCCCTGCTCTGCTGGTGGTAGAAATGGCTCCCCAATGGAGCAGCCCCAGTGCTGCTGGCAAAGGGCATGGCACAGGGAAATGGTTCTTCCATGGAGCAGCTCCGGTGCTGCTGGCACAGGGCATGGCACAGGGAAATTGTTCCCTCAAGGAGCAGCCCCAGTGCTGCTGGCAAAGGGCATGGCACAGGAAAGCACAAACCCCAGCGTGGCACTAGCTTTGGGAACATGGCATTTGACTTTGGGCACTGTTTTTGGCAAAGCTTTCAGTGGTGATGGATTCATCCTTCCAGCACGGGGACACATGGTGACAGTGGGGACAGTGCTGAGCAGGAGGGGACCCCCAGCAGCATTGGCCATTGCCAAGGTTGGGCACATGGCCACAGTCAGGCACGTTGGCACCATCTTCTTCATGGGACACCAAAAACCTTTTTGCAAAAGTTTGTGGCTGCAGTAAGCATTGGCGCCGTCTGCTCTGTGGGACACCAAGCAACCTTTTTGCAGAAGTTTACAGCTGAAATAAGGGTTAAATCTGCAAAAGTTTGTGGCTGCAGTAAGGGTTAATTCTGCACTTGGACATGTCTCAGTGGGACAGGGACACTGCGGCGGTGGCATTATGTGATGGGATGGCACTGGGACAAGGAGACGCTGGTGATGAGGGGAGCAGCCATGGGGCACAGTGGGGCTATAAATACAGCGGGATGGGAGGTGAGCGCGGAGGGCGGGAGCTATTTCGATGCAAGAACAATGCTGGCACAGGAACAAGTGGGGAGAAGTTATCCAGGAACGGAGCAAGCTGGGAAGCCTGGAGGGCTCTGACCCTTCGAGGGGCAGCTCTGGGGTCCCCACATTGGGGCTGGAATGCAGCGGTGGCAGCAGTGGCACCTCCTGGTGCTGGAGGGGGCACAGAGAAGGGTGACCCCCATCCTTCCTGGGCACTGTGTACTGTGCTCCCCCTGTGCCACCAGGTGCAGGAGAGACTGGACCCATGTGGAAAGGAGGACATGTGGCATGGGGACACCAGGAGTGTGCCACCAAGGGCTTGTGCTGCAGAGGTGGCAGCTCTGTCCTCTCAGCACGGGGACACATGGAAACATTGGGGACCTATGGGGCAAGGAGCTTTTCTCTCCAACCCCAGGGTTTGGAGGGGATGTGGGCACAGAGGTGGGGACCCCCAGCTGGGGAGGGGGCGGGCAGCCCTCTGGCGCGGCTGTAACAGGACCATTTGTTTTTCCAGGTGTTCCAAGGTATGTATCCTGAGGGGTGACGTCAGCCAGGTGAGCAGGGCCCAGGGCAGGGCGGCTCTGCCCCTGCACCTGGGGACCCTGCGGGGACGAGGAGCTGCAGGGTGTTGGTGGCAGCACCATGCCACACCGTGCTGAGCTGTGCCATGCCAAGTCACCTCGAGCCATGCCATGCCAAGCTGTGCCATGCCATGGCCCTGAGACCAGTACACCCAGGCCACCAAGTCACCACGAGCTGTGCCGTGCCATGCCAAGTCACCTTAAGCCGTGCTGTGCCATGCCAAGTTGTGCCATGCTGTGGCCCTGAGGCCACCCTCAGCCAGTGACCTTGCAGTTGGTGCCATGCATGGCAGTGGTTCTCCCCTATGCCGCTTTGCCACATTGGAGCAGGCAGGAGCCCAGCACCATCCTGGTCATGGTGCACCCTGATCCCCCTGGGGGCACACAGCTGTGGAGCAGAATCCTTGGCGGGGGCCCTGCAGGGAGGGGAGTGCGGAAAAAGGCAGCGCTTGTTCCCAGAGCCGGCAGCGCAGAGGAAGAGGGTGGGTGGGAAGGAAGGCAGCAGCAGGCGAGCCAGGCCTTCCCCCGGGACAGGGATGGGCGCCAGGGTGGATTCACAGCTCCTTCCCCTGTTGGTGTGCGAGGGATGGATATGCAAGGGACAGATGTGCAAGGAAGGCCATCCTGCAAGACACTGCAGCGTGCAACAGAGAGCCGTTGTGCAAGGGAGATTGTCGTGGAAGGGAGGTTGTCGTGTAAAGAAGGCCATCATGCAAGGGAAGGCAAGTGTGTAAGGGAGGACATCATGCAAGGCAGCTCAGCATGTAGCAGAGGTTGCAAGGGAGGTTGTCACGCAAGGAAGGTTGTCAAGCAAGGGACATCATTCTGCAAGGGACAGATGTCGTGCAAGGCAGCCCAGCGTGCAGTGGAGGAGAGCTGTTGTGCAAGAGAAGTTGTCGTGCAAGGCAGGCCATCGTGCACGGGGACGCAGTGCATGTCCCACACCCACCCCAGCTTCCTGGCATTGTCCACCCGCCCCACACAGCCCGCAGAGCCCCTGCCCGTGCCGTGCCGGGGGCGATTGGTGCATGGTGACGCCGCTTTCCTGCAGCGGGGGCGGCCGGGGGGCAGCCTCCAGCTTTCCGCCAGCACTGTGGGCACGGGGAGAGGCCAGCAGGGTGGTGGTAGCGCGCGTGTCCTTGGTGCACAGCGTGACACTGTCCCCAGGAGAGCGGGGGGCGCGGGGCTGCGCGCTGCCAGCGGGACGGCGTTGGGTGCAGACGAGGATGGCGTTGGGTGCCGACGGGATGAAGCCGGGGCTCGGTGCCCCGCGTCCCCGTGCCACGGTGCCACGGTTGGGTTGGCACTGCCGGACCCCCATCCGTCACCCAACGTCCCTCCCCTCTCCAGCCCCGTTCCTCCCCCCGTGCGTCGCGTCCCCTCCTTCCCGGCCCCGTGCGCAGCTGCTGCCCGCCTGCCCCGGCCTTCCCCAGCCGCCAGCGGAGGAAGTGAGCGCGGTCGGGCGAGCAGGAAGCGCCGTGGGGACACTGCAGCAGCACCGGGAGGAGACGGCCCCATTAGGGCTCCGGGGTCTGCGCGCCCACCCGCGGGGGATGCGCCATGGTAAGCGGCAGCGGGACCCCCCCCGGCACGCCCGGAGAGGGGGCTCCTGGGGATGAGCGGGCGAACGGATGGGAAAATGTGGCGAGCGGAGGAGGGCAGAGTGTCCTCCAGCACTCGGTGGCCCCGCCGGTGCCCGCGGGGTGAGGCTGGGACGGATCGCTTTCCCCCTCCGCGGACCCCCACTCACGCCGAGCCCCGCTGGCAGCGCGGCGGTCGCTGGCTCCGTGCCACCGTACGGTGCATCCTGGGACGTGTAGTTTGCCGGGAACGGGGAAGGGAGCGCACGGGGTTCGGCCGGGTGTCTGCGTTTCGGGCCGTCCCGTGGCACTGGGGTTACGGCATTGACGGTGCACTGTGCTGGGGGGGGCCGAGCCCGGCGCACCGCCGCGATGGCGCGGTGACGCAGCCGCACTTTCACTCTCCTTCGCCACGGAAACCGCCGAGCCGGGCATGGCCCTTTCGCTCTGACTGTCACCGTGGCCACTTCGGACCCCTGCAGCCCCGCTCGCCGACTGTGCGCCGTGCTCTGCGCCGCCTGGTGTGCGCGCACACCCCGCTGCAGGTGTTGGTGCTGTCACCGCGACACTGGCAAGCAGGTGTTGCGCTCAGCACCAGCTGACGTGCACGTAGACCCCGCTGGAGATGTTGGTGCTGTCACCCCGACACTGGCGCGTGTTGCACGCTCCGGTCGTGCCTGCTTAGCATGACACACGTGTGCACATCGGGTTGTTGCAGAGTTCTGCCTGTCCTGTGTGCACGCACACATATGAACACCCACACACAGACGTCACGGGCGGTTTCAGACCATCATGCACACACATACGTGGTTGTCACACGTCCTGTTGTCACATGCCCTGTCTCTTCCTGTCACATGCACACACACACACCACAGTCACTGTCTCTGCCTGTCACACACACACGCGTGCCCCCGATTCCACCTGTCTCTTGCACAAGCACACATACTGCTGTCCCTGACCCTACTGTGACAGTCCAGAGGGTCCTGGCAGCACCCAGCTGAGTAGGATGGTGTCCCCTCTGCTCAGGTTGTCCTCAGTTGTCCTGGGATTGGGACTGGAGGTGCCATCCTGGTGTGTCCTGGTCCTGAGGGCACCACTGCACTGTGTCCTTGTCCTGAGGGGACCATAGAATCACAGAATCATAGGATGGCCTGGGTTGAAAAGGACCACAGCGATCATCTAGTTTCAACCTCCTGCAGTGTGCAGGGTCACCAACCATCAGACCAGGCTGCCCAGAGCCACATCCAGCCTGGCCTCCAGAGATGGGGCATCCACGACCTCCTTGGGCAACCTGTTCCAGTGCCTCACCACCCTCTGTGTGACCATATCCATATATTGTGGTCCTGAGGGTGTCACATCCATGTGTTGTGGTCCTGCAGACGTCGTGCCTATGTGTCCTGATCCTGAGGGTGTCACATCCATGTGTTGTCATTCTGAGGGTATTCTGAGGGTATAGTGTCCATGTATTGTGATCCTGAGGGTGCCATGTCCATGTGTTGTAGTCCTGCAGGTGTCATGTCCATGTGGCCAGAATGGTTCTCATGATGCCAGGTCTGTGCTTTCTGGTCCAGGAGATATCATGGCGAGATTTCCTGATCCTCAAGGTGTTGTGGCTGTGTGTCAGTGTTCTGAGGTTGCCATGACAGGGGGACCTGGTCCTCAGGGTGTCATGACAGCATATTGAGGTTCCCATGATGTCACATCCTTTTCTCTTTGTTCTGGGGGTATTGTGGTAACATAGGTTAATGGCTGTAGGGCGTTGTGGAATAATGCCTATAGAGTGTTGTGGGCTGATAGCTATAAGGAGCTCAGCACCACACAGTGGGATGGGGGAAGAGGAAAGGAAGAGTAAAAGCAAGAAATCCCGTGAGTCAGCTAGAAATTGTTTAACAAACGGAGGAGATGTGGAAGAGAAGAGAAAGAAAACCAGAGAAGTGATGCAAAGATGCTCACCCACCACCTCCCACAGAGGTGGCTGACTCTTAAACCCCATATCCTGGACTTCGTGGTGTCACCTCCGTGCGTCATGGTCTTGGTGGTGCCATGTCCACGTGTTCTGGACTTTGTGGTACACCTGATCTTCATGGTGTGCTTCTCCTGATGGTTCCATGGCACCATGTCATTGTCCTGAAGGCACCATATTGGTGTGTCCTTCATCGTGGCAGCATCTGCTGGTCCTGGAGGTGCCATATTGGTGTGTCCTGGTCCTAAAGTTTCCATGACAGCATGTCTGGGTCCTGAGGGTGCCATGATCCTACATCCTGGTTCTGACTATGTTGTATCCATGTGTCCTTGGCCTCATGGTCCCCTGTCAGCCCCTGCCAGCCTCGTGCAGGAGCTGGGACTTGGTGGGTTTTTTTTGGCACAGTCAACTTTTTGCTCCCAAATTGTCAGTGCAGTGCCTCATGTCTTCAGACACAGCATCCAGGGGACGGGGACCTCAGCCCCCAGACAGGTGGTGGTATCATTGTGCCCATCACCGATCCTTTCTCTTCTCTTTTGCAGGTGGAAAGCAGTGACACACCCAAAGACACGGCAGCCGTCCCCAAGTGCCCCCCTCCCTGCCCAGAGGCCAGCCCTGCCGAGCCACTGCCCAACGGGGACCTGGAGACGGACGGAGCCCAGTGGAAGGGCACGGAGGAGGGTGGCACAAGCCCCAAAAGCGGGCGTCCTGAGGAGGACGAGACGGAGAGCCTGGCGGATGGAGAGACGGGCCGGGCGCTGGAGAATGGCCGCTGCACCCCCAAGGAGGGCCTGGACGCCCCGGCCGATGAGGGTGAGCTGGCCCCTTCCGACCCCCAGAAGAAACGCGGGAGGAGGAAACTCCTGGAGGCCACAGAGAAAAGTAAGATCTGAGCGTTCAGGGGCACCCACTGCGCCCCCGGGCACCCCCAGCCCTTGCCCATCCTGCTGGGGTACGGGCGGCAGCACCAGAGGAGGAAGAGGAGGAGGAAGAAGGGCTCTGTGCCTCGTGGGAGGGAAAGGGACAGGAGGGTTAGAGGGACGTCCTCCTGCATGCGCCCACGCGTGTGCTGTCGTTGTGCTGCTTTGCATGGCAGTCCCGCATGTGCCATGGAGGTGTTGTGCATGGTGCACCTGTGGGATGTGGTGCTGGGGTCCCTAAGCTGGTGCCTGCACCCTTGGCGCTGGTGGGAGGCAAGTGAATGGGGCGCACTTGGGCATGGGGACACCAAGGCCGGGGGTCTTCTTGGGGATCTCACAATGAGCCGGGATGTGGGGCTGGGCACCCTGAGTGAGATTAGGATGGAGGGAAGCAAAAACAGTAGAGATGAGCAAGGTGGAAATGGAGTTGAGCAAGATGGGGATGGAGGTGGAGGTGAAAGTGGAGGTGAAGATCCAGGTGGAGATGAGCAAGATGGGGGTGGAGATGGGATGGAGATGGGGATGGGGGTGGAAATGGAGGTGGAAGTGGAGGTAGAGATGGATATGAGGATGGAAATAGAAATGGAGCTGAGCAAGGTGAGAATAGGGATGAAGATGAGGATGGAAATGGAGATGGAAGTGGAGGTAAAGATGGGGTTGAGGATGGAGGTGGAGATAAATGAAGATGAATGGAGATGAGCAAGATGGGATGGAGATGAGAGAGGTGGAGAAGGGGCTCAGTGAGATGGGGACGGAGATGGAGTTGAGTTGGGGATGGGGATGGAGATCAGCAAAATGGAGATGGGGTGAGCAAGATGGGGATAGAAACGAGCAAAATGGGTGCAGAGATGAGCGAGGAGGATGGAGGCGATTGAGATAGGGATGGAGTGAGATGAAGATGGGGACAGATGGAAGTGGGGTGCAGGAGGGGGTGAGTGATGGGGAGAGAGATGAGCAAGATGGGAATGGAAGCAATTCAGATGGGGATGGAGATGAAGATGGATGTGGGGATGCAGATGGAGATGAGTGACGGGGATGGAGATGAATGAGATGAGAACGGAGATGAGCAAGGTGGGGACGAACCAGATAGGAAAGGGGCTGAGCGAGATGGAGATGAGTGAGTCGGGGATGAGCCATCCACACACAGGCCAGGGAAGCTACCTGCATCCCCCGCTGAGCCTGCAGGCTGCTCCGGAGGCACGGAGCCGCGCAGTCCCTCGCTGCACCTGGCTGCAGGGCCAGCCCGTGACTCACCCTCTGCAGGGAGTGGGGTGGCTGCCAGCGGCTGCGCTCGGGTTTCACCTCCCTGCCGGGGGCTCATATTCCTCCGCCCTTTCCCCTCTGCATTAAAGAGCCCTTTCATACCCTGCGGCTCGAGCTCTGCAGCGAGAAGCCCACCGCACCGTCCCCTCCATGCCACCCCGTGCTGGCGCTTGCTCTGTCCCCATGCTGAGGACGCAGGCCTGTGGGGACTTCGCTTCAATTGGTCCCCGGGCCTCAGTTTCCCCACAAGCAATCGCCGACCCCGTGCCTCAGTTTCCCCACCCGCAGCCCCACCGCCTGCAGGCAGGACAAGTGAGCTGGGCGCGCAGCTCCGAGGACCCACGGGGACGCGGTGCCGGTGCCCAGCCGGTGTCACTGCTCCCCCCTCCCCGCAGCCGCGTCACCCGGCGGTTTTGCAGCCCCAGAAACAGTGGGGTTATTTTTAGCTGCTTTCCCGGCAGCGGCTCTGCGCGTACCTGCGGCTCTGTGTGAGGGGCAGAGAGCGCAGGAAACCGCCCCGGCCCTACTTCCCCTGCACGCCCCGGGGCCCCCCCTACAGCCGGGGCTGCCCCCCAGCCCTGCCCGCGTCCCACCCCATGGCACAGCACTGATGGTTGCTTTGCTCTGTGTGCAGGCAAGGAGGAGAAGGAGGAAAACAACTTCGACAGCCTGAAAATGGAGGCAAGTGTGTGCGCACGTAACTGTGTGTGCTTCCATGTGTGCTTCCGTGTGTGTGTGTTTGTGATGTGCATAACTGCGTGTGCACATGAGTGCACGTGAGCGTGCACGTGTATGTGTGTGTGTACATCTGCATGTGTGTGTACATCTGCATGTGTGTGCACACAGCTGTGAGCGTGCGCATCCGTGGGCACATAAGCGTGAGCACAAGTGTGTGCAGCCCTTTGTGCATCTGTGTGTGTGCAGAGCTGTGAGTTCATGCCACATGTGTGTGCGCACGTGTGAGTGCATGCCATTTGGACATGTTTGTACGTGTGTGTGAGTGTGCTCACGGGGTTGGGGGGGAGGGGGCTGCAGCCCCAATCTCCTTCCTGATCCCATTCTCTCCCCACAGGGCTCCCGTGGGCGGCTGCGGGGTGGGCTGGGCTGGGAGTCAAGTCTGCGGCAGCGCCCCATGCAGCGGCACACCTTCCAGGCAGGGGACCCCTACTACATCAGCAAGAGGAAGCGCGACGAGTGGCTGGCACGCTGGAAGAGAGAGGTGAGGACTTGGTGACAGCCAGGTGACACCAGCCTTGGGGACGCTGGGATGGTGCCATGGTACGGGTACAAGGGCCGTGCTGTGGTTCTCCAGGGACCAGAGTAGGGTCTGGGGATGGTGGAGATGGGGCATGGCCTTGATGTCCCCATAGGGCACAGTGACACAGGGCACAGCTGGCATGGCCGCAATGTCCCCGTGTCCCTGTATCCCCATAGGGCACAGCTGGCACAGCCTTGGTGTCCCCACAGGCACAGCAAGGTCAGGCCATGGCTGATTCCCCTGTGGGTGTCCTGGAGGGGTCTCAGCCCCTCTGTATTGTAAGGACACTGGTGGCAGTGCCACCCCATGCTCTCTGTCCTGCTTGGGACTTGGCACAGTCCCAGTGCAGTTCTTGCACCAAGCACCACATTCCCAGCACACCGTTCCCTCGCCAAATAAACGCGGATTCAGGTCAGCCAGCAGCACTCAGCAGCCAAAAATAATTGGGGGAAAATACTTTAAAAAAAAAGCAAAATACATCTTTTCAGCAGTTCCTCTTTCTCAAACAATGCCGATTTTGGCCACGCGTAATTCCTTTATTTTTCTAAGAAGATGAAGTGTTTTCTTTTCATTACGGGGAGAAAGGCTGAGCCACACTCAGTGTGCTTCCCATGGGTCTCACAGCCTGGCTGCCAGTTGTCACCCAGTGCTGGTGGCAGCAAGGACAGGAGGTGTCAGTGGCAAAGGGGTCAGTGTCCCCTCCCAGCTGCACTCCCATGAGGTTTGCTTGTTTTGGGGTGTGGAGAGACCACCACCCCTAATGTCAGGGGTGGGGACCACCACTTTCTGACATTGATGTGCTGTGGTAACACCGTGCTGGCTGTGAGATGGGATGGAATGGGAGTAAGATGGGATGGGACAGAACAAGGATGGAGGTAAGGATGGAGTTGGAGATGGCAATGGCAGTGGGGGTGGCCATGAGGATGGCCATGGAGATGTCAGTAGTGATGGGACAGGGGTAGCATGGAGGTGGGGAGACAGTGGGATGGGGATAGGATAGGACAAAGATGGAGGTGGGACATGGCAATAGGATGAGGTTGGAGTGAGTTGGATTGGGTTTGGATGGAATGGGGATAAGATGGAGATGGGGCAGGGATGGGATGGGGTGGGATGAGGATGGGCATGGTGATGGCAATGGCAATCGGGATAGAGATGATGATGGCAGTGGTTATAGTAAGAGGATGGGGTTGGGGTAAGTCGTGTTATGTTGGGTTTGATTGGGATGGGATGGCAATGGAGGTAGAGATTATGTTGGCAATAGCAATGGCAACTGGCAACGGTGATGAGGATGGGATAGGATGGGATGGCTTGGGATGGGATGGGGACAGGATGTCTGTGACCTGAGGGCAGGAAGGCCTGATCACCACTCTGCCAGTCGCAGGGATGTGCCAATCTCTGCTTATCTCCGTGTTAATAGTCAGCGGATGGGACATTTCCTCCCTCTCCTGCCCTGCTCCTTCCCAAGACAAAGGGAGAACAGCCCCGAGCAGAATTAGCTGTGTGCTCACCCCCACCAGGAGCTTTTCTTGGGTGCTTTTTGTGTCACTCCTGGATCCTGGGGTCCCCCCACCCAAGCATGGGCAGTGCAGATCCTCTCACTATGCTGCATGCCTGGTTGCCCACATTCTGTTGGGTTTCATGGGTCTTGTGCAGGACCAAGTGGTTTTTCCCAAGAGAGAGTCCCTGTGCCTTGCGGGTCCCTGCGCTGGTAGTGTCCATGAGTGTCTCTGTGCCACAGGGGTCCTCATGCCATGGAGTATATGTGCCATGGAATTTCCATGCCATTGGAGTCCTTGTGCCATAGGGATCCTTGTGCAATATGCCACCCCCTGTGCCATAGGAGTCCCCATTTCTTGGGGGTTCCTGTGCCATGAGATTCCCCATGCCGTGGAGACCCCATGCTATAGAATTTCTTTGCTGTGGGGATCCCAATGGCTTGGGGGTGTCATAGTGGTCCCTGTGTGGTGGGGGTCCTTGTGCCATGATGTCCCTATACCATAGAATTCCCATGCCATGGGGGTCCTTGTCCCATGGAATTCCCATGCCATGGGGGTTCTTGTGCCATGATGTCCCTATGCCATGGAATTCCTATGCCATGGAGGTTCTTGTGCCATGGTGTCCCCATGCCATGTGGATCCCTGTAATGTCTCCATGCCATGGGGTTCCCATGCCATGAGGTCTCATGATATAGAATTTCTGTGTTGTGGGGATCCCAGTCCCATAGGCATCCCTGTGCCATAGTAGTCTCTGTGCAGTGGAATTCTCACGCCATGAGGATTCCAGTGTCATGGAGTCCCTGTGCCATTGGAATGGAATTACCATGGAATTCCTGTGCTGAGGGGGTCTCAGAGTTCCAGACGCCTGGGCAGGGTGGGGGTAGCAGGCAATGGGCAGCGGGGATGGGGACGGGACCAGAGGCCCTGCTGCCACCCCCACCCCGTCCCCTTCTGCCCTCATTGCATTGCCCGGGGCCCACGGCCATTCCCTTTGTCCCCTCCATCTGCAACACAAAGGGGCCCTGAGTGACTCAGCCCTGCGCTGGGGACACTGGGGGGTGGGCACTGGGCTGGGTGCTGGCACCCCGAGCGCATCCCATCAGTCCCATCCCAGAGCCGCGGCGTCTCCATCTCCGCGCTCATCCCTCATCCGACGAAGGCTCGGCTCCTCGCAGCATGGCACGGTGCCGCATGGCAAAGCCTATCCCCGGAGGTGCCACCACCAAGCGCACGCTACGACCGCGCCGCGACTCCGCCGCCACGCAGAGACGGCGCGGCCGCAGCATGGCCATGGGGCTCAGGAGTGGGATCGTGTGGGAGCAGGCATGGACGGGGAACGGGCACGCGTGGGGGTGGACGCGTGGAGATGGATGCGCGGGGGTCGGGGACGCTGTGGGATGGGAACGGGAGCGTGGAGATGGCACACGTGGGAGTGGGAACGTGGCGGTGGCACGCGTGGGAGCGGGCATGGGTGGGAATGGGTGCACGTGGCACAGCTCTGTGGGCGCACGGCACGGCGGGTGCTGCCAATGTGGGGTTCGCTGCCCCTGTGGGACGCTGATGTGGGTTCGGAGCTCGGGGTGCCGGGCTGTGTCAGCCCTGGGGGTCCCCACGCCTTGGGACAGAGGTGGTGGCACGGTGTGGGGCTGCGAGCCCACGGGGCGCGTGGATGTTTAGGACGCAGTTTGGGGTGTCCGGATTTGCTTTGGATGCTGCTCGGTCGGATGCCTCTGGGGACACCCGGCTCCGTGGAGACACTCGGGGGGACACCTGGCCGTCGAGAGATGGGCTTCGGGGTGTTTGGGAGATGTTCTCTGGGGTGATGCTCAGCTGGATGCAGTGGGGACACGCAGCTCTTTGGGGACACGCAGGGGACGTTTGTGTGTCCGGTGAGACTCTTTGAGGTGCCCGGAGTTACTCTGGGGTGCCGCTGAGGTGGGTGCATCTGGGGACACGCGGCTCTCCGGGGACACGCGTGGGACAGCCGACCCCCCCCGTGCCATCCCACGCCCGGCTTGCAGAGCCGTCCGCCTTTGTCCACCAAAGGAGCGCAGCGCCGGGACAAAGGGCAGCGCTCCGGGCCGGGCCGGGCCGGGCCGAGCCGTGCGGGGGGGGCGGGCCGAGCCGGGTGCCCCGCAGCCAACCAGCCGGGCCGATTGGGACCATGTGACCCGGAGTTCCCAGACAAAGAACCGCCGGCCGTGCCCCCGGCTCGGCTCGGCACGGCTCGGCTCGGTTCGGTCCGGCCGCAGCGCTCGGCCCGCATGGGTAGGTGGCCGCGTGGGGTGGGAGCGGGGGTGGCGCGGCTCAGCCCGGCACGGCTTGGCGTGGTTCGAACCGGTTCGATTGAGTTTGGCACGGTTTGGGCTGAACTCCGCGTGGTGTAGTTTGGCACAGGTTGGACCGGGCCGGGCCAGCTCGGCAGAGTTTGGCGTGGCTTGGCCAGGTCGGCATTGTTTGGAGTGTTTTAATCCAGTCTGGTCCGTCTCGAGCTGAGTTTGGCACGATTTGGTCCATTCTGGTCCAACTTGGCTGAGTTTGACATGGCTTTGCTTGGGTCTGGTCCAATTTGGCTGAGTTTGGCACAGTGTGGTCCAGCTTAGTGGATTTTGTCACAATTTGGCACAGTCCAGTCCAACTTGGCTGAGTTTCACACCGTTTGGTCCAGTTCTGCTGAGTTTGGCACAATGCAGTCCAACTTCTCTGAGTCCAACAAACCTCTGGCATGGTTTGGCCCAGGTCTGGTCCCTCTCAGCTGAGTTTGGTACAGCTTGGCCAGGTATTGAGGTATAAACAGTGCAGGGGGAAACTGAGGCATGGGAACAAGGAGGAGCAACTTGTGGCACATGGCACAGCCACCAAGAGTTGGTGCTGGGGGGCAACTGTGCCTAGGGAGTGGGGATGGGATGGAGATGAGGATGGGGACACAGAGATAGAGGTGAGGATGGGGCGGAATAAGGATGCAGTGTGATGCAATGAGGATGGGATGGGATGAAGCTGCAGTGGGATGGGATGCGATGGGGTGAGGATATGGTAAAGTGAGGACCAAAATTCAGTGGGATAGCGTGGGGATGCTATGGGATGGACTGCAAAGGGGCCAAGTGGGGCTGCAGTGGGGTGGGATATGATGGGGTGGGATATGATGGGGTGGGATATGATGGGGTGGGATGAGGGATACGGATGCACTTGGATGGAATGAGGCTTCCTAACTGCCTTGACACCTCTCTTCCACCAGGCGGAGAAGAAGGCAAAAGTGATCGCCGTGATGAACGTGGTGGAGGAGACGCCGCGGGCCGAGCCGCAGAAGGAGGAGGAGGCCAGCCCCCCTGCCTCACAGCAGCCCACCGACCCTGCTTCACCCAATGTGGCCACCACGCCTGAGCCTGTGGTGGCCGACGCCGTCGACAAGAACACATCCAAGTCAGCCGACGACGAGCCTGAGTACGAGGTGAGCACATCCCACACCACCAACAGTGCGTGGGACCAGGGCTGACTCGAGGGCAGCCCTAACGCTGTCCCTTCCTTGTGTCCCTCCCTATCCCCAGGACGGTCGGGGCTTCGGTATCGGTGAGCTGGTGTGGGGCAAGCTGCGTGGCTTCTCCTGGTGGCCGGGGCGCATTGTGTCCTGGTGGATGACGGGACGCAGCCGGGCAGCTGAGGGCACCCGCTGGGTGATGTGGTTTGGGGACGGCAAGTTCTCAGTGGTGAGTGGCACCCCTGCTCCGTGCACACCAACCTTGGCATGTCCCTGTTTGGGTGATGGCCACCACGTCCCCTCCCGCAGGTCTGCGTGGAGAAGCTCCTGCCCCTCAGCTCCTTCTCCAGCGCTTTCCACCAGGCCACCTACAACAAACAGCCCATGTACCGCAAAGCCATCTACGAGGTGCTGCAGGTGAGCACTGGTGGCACTGGGAGGGGACATCAGGGACATGGCACTGCTGAGGGCATGGCACTTGGTGCACATGTGGCTGGGGTAGTCGGGGGCCAGCACCTATGGGGTGGTAGCAGGAGGGGACACGAGGATGTGGCACTGCTGAGGACGTGGCACTCAGTGCATGCATCTCTGGGGGTTGGCATCTACGGGGTGGCACCAGGAAGGGACACAGAAGGTGACGCAGCGCCGGGTGCTCCCATGCAGGTGGCAAGCAGCAGAGCAGGGAAGATCTTCCCGGCGTGCCCCGAGAATGACGAGACTGACACCTCCAAGGTAGTGGAGATCCAGAACAAGCAGATGATCGAGTGGGCGCTGGGCGGCTTCCAGCCCTCTGGCCCCAAGGGCCTGGAGCCCCCTGAGGGTGAGCAGTGAGACAGGCATGTGGACAGGGGGTCTGTCTTCATCCACGCTGGCTGCTCACAGTTCCCCATTGCCTCACAGAGGAGCGCAACCCCTACAAAGAAGTTTACACAGAGATGTGGGTCGAGCCAGAAGCCGCTGCCTACGCGCCGCCCCCACCCGCCAAAAAGCCCCGGAAAAGCACAACAGAGAAACCCAAGGTCAAGGAGATCATCGATGAGCGCACCCGAGGTACACACAGCCCCCCTGGGTCTGCAATGGGCTGAGTTGTGGGGCTGCCCCATGTCTGTGGGGCTGACCATGATGGGGTGCCCACAATGGGGAGCCCACAGAGTATCCATAACGGAGAACTCCTGGTGAAGTGTTCATGGTGGGGTGCTCATAGTGGGGTGTCCATGATGGAGTGCCCATAATGGGGTCCCTTCATCCTGGGGACTCCACAAGCAGGGCTGGGGGCACAGAGGGGTTCCTCCCTCACCCCTAACCCACAACCCTGAGCTGAGCACCTCTTCCCCCACAGAGCGGCTGGTCTACGAGGTGCGGCAGAAATGCAGAAACATCGAAGGTGAGCACTTCACACAGCCTCCGACACCTCCTGACATCAGTGGGGCTGGGGGGGCCCTGAACAGCCTCCAACCCATGGTCAGGGGGGTCCTTGGGGCAACACTCCCCCCCCCCCAGGGCTGCCATCTCCGGGTCCTTGGGGTTCTCCAGTATGGGCATGGCTGAGCCTTGGTGAGAAGTGAGGTGGTCCCATTGGGCTCTGGGGGTGCAGGGGTGGGGGGCTTTGGTTTACTGCCCCCCCCTCCCTGTGTGCCACCCCAGATATCTGCATCTCCTGCGGGAGCCTCAACGTCACCCTGGAGCACCCTTTGTTTATCGGGGGAATGTGCCAAAACTGCAAGGTATGTGCAGAGAGGTGGGGGTCTCACAGCCCCACACGGGACTATGGGGTAGGGGGTCCACACTGACTCTGTGCCCCCCATCCCCAGAACTGCTTTCTGGAGTGCGCGTACCAATATGATGACGACGGATACCAGTCCTACTGCACCATCTGCTGTGGTGGGCGTGAGGTGCTCATGTGCGGCAACAACAACTGCTGCAGGTGGGGGGAGCAGCTGGGGAGAGCTTCTGTGGGGCTGGAGCTACTCCACAAATTGTGGGGGCTTGCAGTGGGAAGGGTTTGTCCAGTAGGGATAAAATGGAGGAGATGATGGCACACTTGGACTCTCACCAATGCAGTGTGTGTGGGTGGCACTGGGACCCCCACCCTGACACATGCCCCCCACCCCAGGTGTTTCTGCGTGGAGTGCGTGGACCTGTTGGTGGGGCCAGGGGCTGCACAGGCGGCCATCAAGGAGGACCCCTGGAACTGTTACATGTGTGGCCATAAGGGTGTCTATGGGCTCCTGCGGCGGCGTGAAGATTGGCCATCGCGCCTCCAGATGTTCTTCGCCAACAACCACGACCAGGAGTTTGTGAGTGCCCCCATCACCCTATAGACACCCCTCATCCCGTGGCCCTGCTGCCCCAGCCTCATATCCCCATGCCCCATTGCTTGTAGGATCCGCCAAAGGTGTACCCGCCCGTCCCCGCTGAGAAGAGGAAACCCATCCGCGTGCTGTCGCTGTTTGATGGCATTGCCACCGGTGGGTCTGTGGGGCTGGGGGCAGCTGGATGGTGGCATCCATCCCTTGGGAGATGGGATGGGGTGGGGAGGGATGGAACATAAGGGAAGAAGATGGGATGGGACATAATGGGCTGAGTTGAGATGGGACATAATGTCATGGGTTGGAATGGGACTGAATAGAGCAGAATGGGATGGGGAAGTGACATGGGATGGGACGTGATGGGATGAGACAGGATGAGACATAAGGGAGCAAAGTAGGATGGGTCTGGATGGGATGGGGTGGGATGTAATGGGGTGTGATTGGACATAACAGGATGGGATAAAGTAGGGTAGGACAGGACAGGATGAGACGATGTAACGTAATGGGATGGGACACGATGGAACGTGGTGGGATGGGATGTGACACTATGGCATGGGCTGGGACATAGTGGGATGAAATGGGACTAAATGGAATGCAACGTGATGAGTTGGGATGGGTCTGGGTAGAATATAATGGGATGGGACATGATGGGATGGGGATGGGATGGAACTGGATGGGACATATTGGCGTGGAATGGAATAGAACAAGGAATTGACATGGGATGGGACAGAATGGAATGGGATGGGGAGGTGGGACGGGATGGGGCAGGACACATGGGACAGGGAGGTGGGCTGAGACCCCCGTGCCGCTGCTCACCAACCTGGCCTCGCTGCCCACAGGCCTGCTGGTGCTGAAGGACCTGGGCATCCAGGTGGACCGCTACATCGCCTCCGAGGTGTGCGAGGACTCTATCACCGTGGGCATGGTGAGGCACCAGGGCAAGATCATGTATGTCGGCGATGTCCGAAATGTCACCCAGAAACACGTACGTCCCTTCCAACACAGTACAGACCCCAGGTCCACACCCCCATCCCACTGTCCCACGGCATCCCCACATTGTGGGGCATCCCGCAGCTTACCACATGCTTCCTCCCCCAGATACAGGAGTGGGGCCCCTTCGACCTGGTAATCGGGGGCAGCCCTTGCAATGACCTCTCAATAGTGAACCCAGCCAGGAAGGGGCTGTACGGTAAGGCCATGTCCTCTCTGCATCCCCTCATCATGTCCCCTCACTGCATCACCATCACTACATCCCTTTGCCGTGTCTCCTCACCTCATTATGTCCCCTCACTGTGTCCCTTGCTGCATCCCCTTATTGTGTCTTCTCATCATGTCCCTTCACTGTGTCCCCATTACCATGTTCGCTCTGCATCTTCTCACCATGTCTGCTCCATCACAGTGTCCCCTTGCCATGTCCCCTTTGCATTTCTTTGCTGTTTCCCTGTTAGTATGTCTCCATCAGTATCCCCCTTGCAGTGTGCCCTCACCACATCTCCCTGTCACTCCCCTTGACCCCTCTGCTGATGTCACTGTCTCCTGCCCAGAGGGCACTGGGCGCCTCTTCTTTGAGTTCTACCGCCTCCTACATGAAGCACGGCCCAAGGAGGGTGATGACCGACCCTTCTTCTGGCTCTTTGAGAACGTGGTGGCCATGGGGGTGAGCGACAAAAGGGACATCTCGCGCTTCCTCGAGGTCAGTGCCTCCCCGTGTCCCCATCCTATGGGGCACCCTGGGCCCTGCAGAGCCCCCGGTGACCCACGGCCTCTCTGTGCTCTGCCAGTCCAACCCCGTCATGATTGATGCCAAAGAGGTGTCTGCGGCACACCGGGCACGGTACTTCTGGGGTAACCTTCCCGGTATGAACAGGTTGGTGAGAGCCCCCAACCCTGTGTGTGTGTGTGTGTGTGTGTGTGTGTGTGTATGTGTGTGTGTTTGGGCTTGGATCACAGGCCTTGGATCCAGTGGTGGGTGGCTCTGCAGCTCCCTGGATTCCCCAAAATCCCCGTGGGCAATGGGCGCAGATGCTCCTCACGTGGCTGTGGCCATCCCCTACAAAGTCATCCTGCAGTGACACCATATGGGGACCCTATAAAGTCTTCCTGGGAAGCCACCACATGGGGACGTGGGAAGTGGGGATATAGGGACCCAACAAACTAATCCTGAGGAGTCACCACATGGGTACATGGGAACCCAATGAACTGTTTTGCGAAGCCATCGTGTGGGAATGTGGAGACAATAGTACTCTCACCCCATTCCAACCTTTGTCCTTCCCAGGCCGCTGGCGTCCACGGTCAATGACAAGCTGGAACTCCAGGAGTGCCTGGAGCACGGCAGGATAGCCAAGGTCAGCCCATGAGGGTCACAGGGGCTTAGCCACATCTTCTGGGGGTTTTGGTGCCCGGCTGTGCCCTTGGGGATGGCACTGCCCTTGGATGCTGCACCTTGTGACTATAAGCCTGTGCCTCTTGCAGTTCAGCAAAGTGAGAACCATCACCACTCGCTCCAACTCCATCAAGCAGGGCAAAGACCAGCACTTCCCCGTCTTCATGAACGAGAAGGAAGACATCCTGTGGTGCACGGAGATGGAGAGGTACTGTGGGTGGGGGGTGGTGGGAGACACCTCTGTGTGCTGAGCCTCCATGGCAGTGCTCTGCACTGCTGAGCCTCTGGGGCACTGTTTCACACATTGAGCCTCCATGGTGCAGTTTGCAGTTGCACATGCCAAACATCCACAGTGTGTACCAAGCCTTCATGGCACAGCTTCGTGTGCCAAGCCGAGCCTCTATTACGCAGTGTTGCATGATGTGCCATGCTGTGCCTCCATGGTGCAGTTCTGCACGCTGTGGCTCTGCAACACAGCTCCATGTCCTGAGTGCTTCCACAACACAAACCAAACCTCCGTGCCACAGTTCTGCATGATGGTGCTCCACGTGCCTTATCTTCACAGCGCGGCTCTGCACGACAGGGCTCCATGGCACAGCTCCATGCGCCGTACCTCCATGGCACGTGGGACCTCCACCTCTGCCCCGCTGTCACCCAGCTGACGCTGTGTCCCCCCGTCCCACAGGGTGTTCGGCTTCCCGGTGCACTACACGGACGTGTCCAACATGAGCCGCCTGGCCCGGCAGAGACTGCTCGGCAGATCCTGGAGCGTGCCGGTGATCCGCCACCTCTTTGCGCCCCTCAAGGAGTACTTCGCCTGCGTTTAGGAGAGCCGGACGGGGACTGTGCCACGGAGCGCGTCGGAACCGAACCATCCATGCCAAGAGAAGAGAAAACGCGGAGCGAGAGAAGAGCCAGCACCCAGCAGAGAGACGGGAGCACGGCGCGGCGGCCGCCGGCACGCGCCTCCCCGAGCGCAGGGCTCGGGGCCTCCCCATCCCCAACGATCAGCTTTCAGCCTATTTAAAACTAGGAGAAAAAAAACAAATATATTAAAAATAATAATAATAATAAATCGCACCAGGACAAAAAAAAAGAAAACAAAAGGAAAAATTTTAAAAAAAAAAAAAAAACCACCCACAAAACAGAAGGAAAAAAAAAACAAAAACAAAAGGAAAAAAAATAAAATATGGATAAAACGCAACATGGGAAATCAAAACGTGGAAATAAACAAAAGGAAAAGCAAAATATGAAAATAGAAAACAAAAGGAAAAAAACAAAACAGGGAAGAACACCAAATTATGGAAAAACAAAATGTGGAAAGAAAACAAAATACAGAAAAAAAAAACAAAATGCGGAAAAACAGAAGATGGAAAAACGAAAGATGGAAATCAAATGTGGGGAAAAAACAAAGGGAAAAAAAACAAAATATGGAATAACAAACCAAAAGGAAGAAAGAAAATGCGGGAAATGCAAAATACGGAGAAACAAAACGTGGGGGAAAAAAAAAAAAACAATGTGGAAAAATCAAAACATAGAAAAACGAAATGTAGAAATAAAAAAGAAAGCAAAAGAAAGAAAGAAAAAAAAAACAACAACAAAGCAAGGAAAAAAGTAAAAAGCAAACTGAAAAAGACAAAAAACAAAAGGAAAAAAAAAAAAAAACCCGAAAGGAAAAAAACAAAACAAAAGAGGAAAAAAAAAGAAAAAAGAAAAAGAAACAAAAACACGACCAACCAAAACGGTTTTTTAATTTTTTTTCGGGGTAACCTTTTCCGTTTTCCGCTCTTTTCTGGCTGGGTTTTTCCGTTCGTTGGGTCCCTGCTGCTCGGAGCCGCGGCGCCCGCGCCTCCCTCCCTCCTTGCCAGCAGCACCGCGCGCGGTGACACGGAGCAGAAGCACCGGCGGGGACGCGGCGGACACGCGCACGCCACACTCACACCTTTTCTACAATATTTTGGGTGCCTACCACACGGGAAACCTTGAAGAAAGCAAATCCTAGAAGCCGCTGTTACCTCTTGTTTACAGTTTATATATATATGATAGATATGAGATATAGATATATATATATATAAAAGGTACTGTTACTACTGTACAACCCGACTTCATAATGGTGCTTTTAAACAGCGGGGGGAGTCGAGACATCAGCTTCCACGTTGCCTTACGCGCCGCGCCTTTCCGGAGCCGCGTGGAGGGGGCCGGCGGGGCCGGGGGGGAGCCCCCACCCCGACTCATGCAATAACCTTTTTCTGTCCCAAAAGGAAGCGGCGCCGTCCCGCCCGACGTACTGGTGCTGTTCTGCGTACGTGGCCCCGAGCGGGCAGAGGTTTCGGCGCGGAGGCGGTGCCGGAGCGGTGCTCGGACCCTGGTGCTAACGCTGGGTTGGGACGGGGCTGGAGCCCACCCCGTGCCGGTGTGTTTTTGGAGCGATGGGTTCCAGCGGTCCCTTTGGTGGGCACCACGGTGCATCCATGGTGCACCTGTGGCAGCGGCAGCTGCAGGAGGGCGCAGGGCGGCCGGTGCTGTGCTGAGCGTGGGGATGCTGCGGTGGCGTGATGGTGGTGGTGACCGTCGTGATCGTGGGTCGTGGTCATGGTGATGGTCACAGTGACAGAGACGGTGGCGGTCGTGGTCTTGGTGGCCATCATGGTCATGGTGACAGCGATGGGCTTGATCAAGGTTATGGTCACGGTGACGGTCATGATGACAGAGACGATGACGGTCACGGTGATGGTCATGGTTTTGGTGGTGATCATGGTCATGGTGACAGGGATAGTCATGGCCATGATCGTGGTTATGGTCGCAGTGACAGTCATGGTGACAGAGATGGTGGCAGTCATGGTTATGGTGATGATCATGGTGATTGATGGTCATGCTGATGGCAGTGGTCCTGATGACAGTGATGGTCATGGTCTCAGTTGTGGTCATGGTTGTGGTCATAGTGACAGTCATCATGTCAGTGGCAGTCAAGGCGATGGTCGTGGCGGTCATGGTGATAATGATGACCGTGGTGATGGTCGTGGACTTGGTGATGGGTCATGGTAATAGTGATGATGACGGTGATAGTCATGGTCATAGTCATGATCATGCTGATGGTCACGGTCATCGTGACAGCTGTGATGATGGTCATGGTGATGGTGACCGTGACGGTCATGATGATGGTAACGATGATGGTCGTGGTGACAGTCACGGTGGCAGTGACAGTGGCGAGGATGACATCCTGGTGGCAGAGTTCCAGACCTGGGTGCATTCAGCAGTGCTGCAGTGCGGATGGTGCTCAGCGCTCGGGGTTCAGCTGCGGTGCACGGGGGGGAGCGCAGGGACTGGTGCTAAGGCACGGGGGGGCCCCGTTGCCATCTCTTCCTGTAACTGTGAAAGGGGGGGTCCCGTGCGCAGGGCGGGGGCCAGGACACCCCCGGCCCCCCCGTGCCACCACCGCCGCCGGCAGCTCGGTGCAGGGTGCTGGCTAATGCGCAGCGAGCCAGCCGGCGGTGTTGCAGGGTGCTTGGAGAGGTGCTCGGGGCAGGGGGTCCCCATGGTGCTAGGAGGGGGCCGAGCCGTGAGGCTGGGGCAGTGCTGTGGGTCCTGAGTGGTGCTGGGTGCAGGGCCTGCATGGTGCGTGCTGCAGCATGGCTGCAAAGCCCTCATGGCCCTGCAGTGCTGGTTGCAAGTCCTGCAGCTCTGGGTGCAAGTCCTGCGCCGTTCTGCAATGCTGGGTGCAAATCCTGAAGCACCAAATGCAAACCCTGCACGGCCCTGCATCACAGGGTGCAAACCCTGCACGGCCCTGTGAGCACTGTTTGTCCATCCCGCATTGTACTGCAGCACCAGATGCAAGCTGTGCGTGGCCCTGCAGCGTAGGGTGCCAATTTTGCAGCACTGATTGCAGGTCCTGTGCAGCCCTGCAGCACCAGATGCAAACCTGGCATAGCCCGGCAGCATAGGGTGCAAACTTTGCGTGGTGCTGCAGCGCTGTTTGCTGGTTGTGCGTGGTCCTGCAACACCAGGTGCAGAGCAATGCATAGCCCTGCAGCGTAGGCTCCAAACTTTGCACGGCCCTGCAGCACAGGTTGCAGGCCCTGCATGTCCCAGCAGCAGAGGGTGCACACTTTGCACAACCCTGCAGCACTGCTTGCAGGTCGTGCATGGCGCTGCAACACCCGATGCAAGCTGTGCACGGCCCTGCAGCACCAGAGCAAGCGATGCACGGCCCTGCAGCATGCGTTGCAATGCAGCACAGGGAAGCAGCAGCTCCTCCATTGCAGCACAACTGGAAGGCGCCCGCGGCAGCGGCCCCCACTATGGGGGATGCGTGGGGAAAGAGTTCCGTTTTTAACGTCCCCGACCCACAGCTTTTTTTAAGAGAAACAGACACCTTTTGTTGCACAGCCCTAGATTAAAAAAAGAAAAAAAAGAAAAAAAAAAAAAAAAAGAAAGAAAAAATAAAGAAAAATTAAAAAAAAAAAAGAAAAAAAAAAAAAACCGAAACCTAAATTCCTTAAGATCCGCCGAGGGATAGGTGACAAACACGGTGCTAAAACGTTTTATTAAGAATATATATTGTTAACTTAAGTCTGCTGTCCGGACAATGACTGTTTGTTTCGTTTTCTCGTAGTGGAGTTTCAAAGAGCACTATAATTTTACTCTGATATATTATTATTAAAAAAGTAAAAGGCAAAAAAAAAAAAAATATCATAAAAAAAAAA